AGCTGCTCTCAGAGAGACTGTTTACTTTAGCCGCATTCATCGTGAAACTTGCTAATTAGCACATTGTTAGGAAAGGCGATTTGCAAAGATTCATTAAAAAACCTTACACTCACTTCTTCTTTAGATGAGGCTGGATCACGAATGATTCACGAGAACAGACGCATTTATGTAGATCGGGGGAGCAGTCCCTTCAAAAACAAACATAATCCACTGCATCTTCAGCGGCTCAGATGTCGGGAGTAAATGACGACTGCTATGTTCATTATTACATCCAACAACAGAACACCTCAATCGCTTAGGAGTCATTCTTGTCTACATCTACTCCGGCGGTGAAACAATGGCGGACTGATGACAGCTCACTCAGGGCGGGTCAAAGGTAAGACGCCAGTCCAGTCTGTGCTGAAACGCTACTGTCAATCAAACTATCGTGGGAGGGGCCTGTTTTTGTGACATCACACAGACAGGCATCTGAGATTGGCTCGCTTTGAGAAAAGGGTAAAGATTTTAGTAGATTAACAAAAAAAACACTGGGTGGATTTTTATCATTATAGGGTGGTTGTGAACACACACTGCAAACACACATTTCAGTTCAAACAACTTGTATAACTGCATGTAGCATCATATGACCCCTTTAAGTTACAATCAGCTCTTTCAAAGAATAACCAAATGAAACAAAATTCTAGCTTCTTAATGGGCCATGATGGAGCTTTTATTCTACCAAGAAAAAAAACAAACAATTTTACTGGTACTATTAGAGATATTGAAACTATTACACTGGTAAAACGTCATATTTGAAGTAAACTGGTAATTGCAAACAGAATCAGTCGCATACTGTACCGCATCACCTAATATTTTTTACCTTACTCAACTTCTTTCATCAAACCCAAAGGCCTTTTCAGATGAAATGCACATATTGGACTACTAAACCCATGTGAAGAAATCCAATTATTGAGATGTGAATGTGCAACATAATGGTAAACGCTGCTTCAGACGGCTTGAGTCATTGTTTTGGTTAGGTGGCAATTAGTCATATCCAGATTAATTTTATAACGAGCATTAGGATGTGACTCAGAACGTATGAGCCTGTACTAGCAAACTAATTATGCCTACCATGTCAAACTCTTCACAAAGAGCGAGCACTTAATTAATGCTAAAAGCTTTGTCACATTGTAATTGATGTAACATCGGCACGGCATGATTGAACACTGCATGCAGCTGATAACGCTCTTTTCCTAGAAATATATAAAATGAAGTTTTAAAAGTACACAGCAATACTGAAACATTTTCTGGAAAAAAGAGTGGTGATAAGATGCTAATGCATGTTATATGGTTGCTAAGACACTCTTTATTGGTTTTTAGTGCATTGCTATGGTATTTTGGGTGGTATTCTGGGTGGGTAGACCTCTAAATCTCTATGATATTCTAGCCTCTAGATATGGCCAGTGTTGGTATCGTTAACTAAAACTAAAACTGATATGATTAAAAATTGCTTTCAATAATTTAAATAAAGCTGAAATAAAATAAAATATTATACTGAAAACTTAAATTAAAAAAACTAGAACATCAGAAATGCTGCCTTGGAAACGAACTAAAAACTCATTTTAAGATGAAGCATTAAAATTACTAATACTAAAAATGAAATAAAAATAAAGCTAAAAATATTAAAAAATTTAAAGAATAAATAATAATTCATAAAATAAAAATGACAAAGGCACATAATAAAAATATTAAAACCTACACTAAAACTAAACTAAAAATAGTAAAATATTTTTAAATACTATACTATTATTAGTATAAATCCTAAAATAACAGTGGATATGGCTCGGGTCCATCATTCAATATAAATTCAATAGATTTTTAATAGGTAGTTTTATAGCCTGTCAGGAAAAAATTGTTAGCACAACCATTAAGAAACAAAACATATTCCTAGCAAAAATGGTGGCAGACGAGTTACTCTCCAAACTTTAACCCTGCAGGGACAGTCCTGCCAAAAATGAACATTCAGTCATAATTTACTCACCCTCATGTTATTACAAACCTGTATGCAGTTCTTTTCTCTGTGGGGCACAAAAGAAGATATTTTAAAGAAGATTGGTAACTAAACAGTTTCAGCTCCTATTAACTTAAATTGTACTTTTTGTCCATACTGTACATGTTGGTTACCAACATTCTTCAAAATAACTTTTACGAAAGAAAAGAAACAAAAGAAATTCAGTCATACATATTAGGAATGACATGAGGGTGAGTAAATAATGATAGAATTTTTATTTTAATGTGGACTATCCCTTTAAGGGTAAGGTGTTTGTTTTATTCTCTAAACGTAAATATGAGCATTAGCATGCACTGCTAACAAGTCAGGAAAAATTAGCTGCTGTCCTCTCATTTTTTCCTAGCTGTCTGACTGTTAGAAATACACACTAACACTTATTTAGGTGGAAAAAATGAAACCTATAACAATTTTGTAAGTACGATTGTAATGTTTTTGTGCCTTGTGCGATGTAAGCCTCTTGTGAAGCCTGACGCTAATGCTAAAGCGCTAAGCTCTACTCATCAGCTTGCCTTCGCCTCAATCAAAGGTGACTGAGCACCAAGCTGATTACAAGGACGCATTCACGATTAGACCTGTGAACACCAGGTCAGTCCAGGCCATAATCACAATGGCAGTCACGCAGCATTCACAGTACAGTAAAGCCTCAAAGGGCTTTAAAAGAGAGCTTGACTATAAAACGTGGACCAAACTAAATATTGTTCATAAATATGTACAGTCGGAGCAGCACAGTGCACTGCTGTCCACAACTGTATAATTAGACACATGGCTAGGATGGCAGACCAAACCAGGGGCCCCGCTCTCCACTTACTGCTCTGGGACTCTGTTTACATTTCTGCTGGTTTTAGAAGGACCGATTTTAGAGTCACACCAGACCTGTTATTTTACTGGCTGTGGTTGCATGGAGGGTTTCTGATGCAACAGTCCCACAAGAGTGTTTCCCTCCCGAAGGGTAATTCAGGTCAAAACGGATGATATACTTCTACACTGATCAAAAGGAAGCTGTGCTGTGTGGAACGGTTACAAGATCAAACGTTCAAAAAATATAAATGTGACTGCTTCAAAAAATAAAAAAGAATCTGGGATTGATTTTCTCGATGGGTTCTTATGATGAGAGAATGGAAAGACAAATCAAATAACCATTTCTAATTGAAACCAGTTTAGTGAAAATGTTGAAAGTAGCAATTTTGTCATTCAAATGTTTGGGGTGAGAAATTAATACTTTAATATAGCAAAGATGTATTAAATTATATTAAATCAAATATTAAAATATTATATTCTTTCAAAAATGTAAAGGGGTCATATGATGCTGCTAAAAAGAACATTATTTTGTGTATTTGGTGTAATGAAATGTGTTTATGCGGGAGACTTTAGTCTTTGCAGCTTTACAGATCTTCTTTATGCACCAAGAGCTTGTAACACTCCAAAGAGAGAGGAAAAATTGAAATCGCATCATATGACCCCTTTAAAAATATATATGTTAAAATATATTTAATATAATATATTAAATATTTAATTTGTATTTAATATAATTTGTATTATATTAACAAGTTTGTATTTAATATTATTTGTATTATATAAAATATTTTTAAAAATGAAAAAAAAAAGTACAGTTTTACATTGCCACAATAAAATTCTACTTCAAAAAAATGCTTTTTTAACTTTCCCTTCATCAAAGAATCCTAATATTTTTTAATATTAATAGTCATATATATATATATAAAATGGTTTCCACAAAAATATTAAGCAACACAACTATTTTCAACATTGATAAATGATTCGGCATATAAGAATGATTTCTGAAGAATCATGTAACACTTAAGTCTGGAATATTGATGCTGAAAATTCAACTTTGTCATCACAGGAATAAATTACATATTAAAATATATTAAAATAGAAAAGTTATTTAAAATGGTAATAATATTTCACAATAATACTAAATATTATTTTTTACTGTATTTTTAAATAAAAAAATGCTGCCTTGGTGAAAAACTTTTAAATAATAGTGCAAGCTGAATCTGAAAATCCCATGTACTTCACTGCTATGTATAATAGAAACTGAAATGCTGTGCAAAATGACAAAACCAACCAATCAGAACATATCTGATGTTTTAAAACAGGGTTCCTCAATTAGTTTTCGCCGAGGGCCGAATTCTGCCAACAATACCAAGCCAAAGGCCACTGACCTATATATATAATTGTTATTATTATTACATTTATTATATTATTGTTGCTTTTGTTAAAATAGTCACAAGATGAATATTAAGATTTTTTCCCCCATAGTCTGTTTTATTCAAACAATACTTTTAAAAGTAACTTTCCCCAACACTGGACACGACGCGATAAAAAGTATCTTTTCCTTGTAGTTTTTGTCCTAACCACCCGCGACAGCGACACGTGATAATAAGCTACATGGGATTCTATTTTAGGAACGCTTTTTATTTTCTGCGACGCCGCGGCAGGAAAAACATACAAAATATGACAGTGATAATCTCAGGTAATGATTATGTGCTTTATTCAATATTAAAAGTGTCTAATGTGAGTTTGAATATTTTGCGTGATCTTTATAGCCATAGTGAAAGCAACAATATATATTTTACCTCAGATCTTGAAAATAATTTAAATCAAACTTGTACGTTGAAACCGTGAACTCACTGCGAACCAACACGTGTAGGCTATTCCATAACAAAGATGGTATCAGTCACTCACTCAAAATAGTTCAGCATCACTGATTATAATGGGTTCTATTGTATTTTGTTGTGTCACTCCGCGCCGCTCACGTCCGGTGTAGACACAATGTAAGTTTATGTCGCTTTTTGATGCTGCGTTTCAATTTTCATGCTACATTATTTGAAATTAGCACGGCCCAAACAATTTTCTGTCACGGGCCGGATGTGGCCCACGGGCCGCCTATTGAGGAACCCTGGTTTAGATCCTACCATTCCTATCGCTATAACTTTGTCTATTTAAACGGGGAATCATCTCAATTAAATCCAGTAAAGTATGGAGTGCCACAAAGATCTGTCCTAGGCCATCTGCTATTTTCAATATACATGTTGCCCCTCGGTAATATTATTAGAAAATACGGGATTAGTTTCCATTGTTATGCTGATGATACTCAACTTTATATTTCAACAAGACATTTGAATCATCTATTTTCCGTGTCCACTTTTCTTTTCTACACACTCGCCATGTTTTTGCTGTCACATCGTATCGGCACTGGACTCGACAAAGCATTGCAAATCATTTGAACGTTGTGTCAGTACGTTATAAATAGAACGAGTCAGCAGTTTATTGTCGGGGATTTGTCGTGTCGCGCCGCATCCAGTGTTGACAGCATCACTGATTATAATGGATTCTGTATTTTATTGCGTCGCGCCGCTCGCGTCCGATGTAGACACGATGTAAGTTAATGTAGCTTTCTGATGCTGCGTTTGAATTTTCATGCCACATTATTTGAAATTAACGTGGGTCAAACTTTTTTCTCTCACGGGCTGGATGTGGCCAGCGGGCCGCCTATTGAGGAACCCCGTTTTAAAAACAGCTATGAGGAGTACGATATGGGGCCAATGGCATTTCACCATGTGTGGAACTAGTGACACAATGAGTTACAAAAAGAAACCAATTCTCCGTCGTTTGTGTTGTTTTTGACAGTCACTCATGGCTAAAAACAAAAACTTGGAATATTAACATTGAAGATACATAATTCATCACTTAATTTACACTTTTTCAAATCATTTAGTTAAGACATGTTAATAAAGTACAAAGCAACTAAAGTAAACAGATTTAACAGAAAAACACATATTATGCAACGTTGAACTTTGCAAACAAATAAACACACAGAGGACAAGTCCTCATAGCAGGTGTTTTTTAGACCTGGGAATACATTATCCTCTTATTAAGACCGCAGGGGAAGCAAAGGACACATGAATCTTCCGAGCGATTGCGGAGGGCTTGACAGCTGTAATTAAAGTCTGAGAATTAACTATTGATTATTGGTGTAAACACCGTAATCTACCAAGGTCAGAGATGAGGATGCATGAAGTATAGGCGGTTTTATGGGTCTTTTACCATAGTACACTCCTGGGTGCAGCCTGAAGCTAGAAGAAGTACAGGCATGAAATACTAAATTTTTCTGTTCTCACAAGAGATTGACTATCACAGCTTACTATACATAGCTGTCAATGAGAGGAGTGTTATTCATTACAGTACTTACCGTGTAGAGCTCATTGAGGACTTTCATCAAATCCTCTTGCAGCTGAAAGGTGATTTCTTTACTCTGAAAAGAGAAACAAAAAGAAAGCGGAGGCATCAGCTATCCAAATGTTTGACAAAATAATAAAGCTGAAGGAACTGTATGTGTTTGTGTGCAATTAAAATGTTAGTTTTATCGGAGATTCGTATGTGGGCACACATTCTTCACACTCAAGGTTTGTAGTTCAACTGTTTGCTTCAACTTTTAGCAGCTTGTGTGGATTACCTGATCTTTCTGTCTCGCTGGCCACTCAAGACTCTCACTAACCCAATTATATCTCTACTAATCTGATTCCACGAGCCATTCCCAACATCCCAGTGCTCAAGGGTGCTATGAGCGAATCCTTCTGATACAGCTAGAGCAAGACCTCCAGTCAATCTTGAAAAATCAGAGGCCACAGTGTTCTTCAAACTAAATTATACTCTCAATTCCTGAATTTGAAAGGAACTGGAGAAGCTATCATCATTTTAGTTTATGTGGGTTTATTTAGAAAATGTCTTGATGGATGTTTTAGGGTGAATCATCAATCTTATAAATTATTTAAGTAAAAGAAGTAGATATTTATAAATAATTAATAAAATCGCATATATGAAACCACATATACAGTATATGTGTGTGTGTATATATATATATATACATACACACATACATATATATATACATACACATTTTTTTCTCCTTCTACAATAACTGTAACATGGTGCTATTATCTTAATAAACCAAAATACATTAAAGGGATAATTCACCCAAAAATGAAAATTCTGTCATTATTTGCTCACCTTCATGTCGTTCCAAACCTGCAAGACCTTTGTTCATCTTCGGAACACAAATTAAGATATTTTTGATGAAATCCGAGAGCTTTCTGACAAAAAGATCTAAATGGCTTTCTGAGAAAATAAAAATGGCTTGATAAATGAAACTGTCTAGGTTTTTTGGGGATTAAAAAAAAAAAAAAGTGAATGGATTTTTATCATTGTAGGGTGGTTGTGTCCACACACTGCTAAGACACATTTATATGCAAACACCATGTAAAAGTCCCCTTTAATTTGTGTTCCGAAGATGAACGAAGGTTTGGAACGACATGAGGGTGAGTAATTAATGACAGAATTTTCATTTTTGGGTGAACTCTCTCTTTACATACATCTATCCTAACAATTCAAAGAAAATCTGGCTGCGTGGCTTTAATGCACTTAGTCCAGTTAGCCTTTTAGACTCAATTTAATACTTCAGAGAGAAAGACTTTCCATAATATAAATGTTGGGTCACACTTTATTTTAAGGTCCAATTCTCGATATTAACAAACCATTAACTACGACTCAATAAACTCCTGATTTGCTGCTTATTAATAGTTAGTAAGGTAGTTGTTGAGTTTAGGTAGAGATGTAGAATATGGTCAAGCAGAATATGTGCTTTATAAGTACTAAAAAACAGCCAATATGTTAATAATAGGCATGCTAATAAGCAACTAGTTAATAGTGAGAATTGGTCCCTATACTAAACTGTTACCAAATGTTGAGTATGATGTGAATGAGAATGTGGCTCTGCCTTTAACCATTTTCTTATGGCCATCTGTTTGCTGTCCGCCAGGACACTGAATATGAATTTATATTCATATTCATTATTAACCAATTTATCAAAAGAGATGCTACCCAAATATAATATACTGTGTCATATTTAAAATACAATTTCCATCTCAAAGACCCTTGAATCCATGGCAAAAAAAAAAGACATAACTACAAAATAAATAAATAAAGTGATTGGATTCATGTTACATTATCTTCATGAAAATTACAATTATTAATAATAACAAGAAGGTTGCATATTTAAATAAAATATTAAAATATAATTTAATTGAAATATTTAATAATATCTTATACATATATACATACACATACACACACAAACACACAAGCACTTTTAATAAAAATGTATTGTATAGACAATTTGAATGAAATAAATATTAAAATGTATAAATGCAAACTGACAAAATATTGATTTTAAATTTTATTAATATTAACATTCACCAAAATGTTTTTTTTTTGTAAAACAATACAATTTATTGACATTACTGTAATGAGAATTAAAAAAAAAACTAAATGTAATCATTTTTTGTAAAACAATACAATTTATTGACATTACTGTAATGAGAATTTAAAAAAAAACTAAATGTAATCATTATTATTATTATTATTATTATTTAGGGGTGAAATATAACCTAGACATGATCTTCACAGGGTACTGTATGTGAGATCAACCCATTCACACTTTCACTCTTCCAGCCATCTAATTTAACTCCGTTGTATCTGGAATGCAAGCATAACAGGTCACACGTGTCGTGTGGAGGTCAAGAGTCAAAATAATTTAGCTAAGATCTTCAAACACCCACACTGCTGTTCCACACTCAACCTCTCAAGAGCAATCACAAGAGCCGACAGCTGTGTGTGTACATGTGTGTGCTTCAGCAGGAGACACACAAGTCTGCGCTAAATGCTAAGTTCATCATCCGTGACACATCGTACAGTACCAGCAGCATCCAGGCATGCAGATCCAAACATGCCTGGAGAGATTATTCATGTGCCCTGCCAAAGCTCTGCCTTTAATCAGGCTTCCTCTCAGGCCCATCTAACAGCAGCCAGTTCTGCCTTTTACATAACTGTTTCCAGCCGATGGTCAAACTGACAACCACGGTTACATGGAGAGTCAGGGTGGCTCAGGATATTTTGGGAGCAACCAAGAAGGTTGGCAATAGAGCAAAGGACTGTAGGAAGCAGGGTTTTGTATCATTCAGAATTGAAATAAGAATGCCAATTCAATTACTGAAGCTGAATTAAGGAAAACTAAACTAAACTAAAATAATAAAAAAAAATTAAAAAACGTACAAGTCGCTTTAGATAAAAGTGTCTACTAAATATAGAAAAGTATATAAATAGCAGGTATGTTTCCTTAAACCAAGCAGTTTTGAAAATCCATGGCCAAATCAATGTCAGAGATCCTTTAACACATTTTTGTTTTTGCATTTAAATTATTTTTATTGTTAACTTGTTTTTTTTTTTGTTGTTAACAACTAGCTCATTTTTATTGTTACCAAACTAGCTCAACAGCTTTTCTAAGATTTTTTTTCTAACACGATTCCTTAAAATAAATGCCAAAAATGCCAATAAATTAAATAATTCTAAAATGTGTCTGAAAATTAAAATAATAAAATAAAATAATAAATGTCTTGCATGAGTCATAGACTTTGCAATTTAGAAGCTGGGCCTTTATATGTCAAATGAGAAGTTGTTGTAGAACTACTATCTGCTGGTTGACTTGGTTAAGGACTCTATATATAACCATTTCAAGCCTCTTGGTATAGAGGGTTATATCTTTCCATTAAAATTAATCTGGCTATAAAAAAAATGTACAACCTTCAAGGTACAAACATGGGAGGGCTGACAGCACCATGTGTAGGACCCATGATGAAGCCAGTCATGTCAGAAACAGTGGGGCGTCATACACTTGCAGCAGGCAGCATATTGCATGGCCATAAAGGTACTAAATAAAGTGCCATTTAACATATGTGAATGTTGTAGACAGCTTTACTACGTTGCAAATTATGATCAGCACTTTTACAGTGGGATTTATCCTCAAAGACTTACATTCAGTATTGTGCATCATTGAATCTACTGGCTAAATAAATGGTATGCAATTATTAAAGCGGAATTTCATATAAAAAAGGAACTAGGATTCATCAACTGCTGTTATGCATCGACAGGAAAACTAATGATAACTTTTAGAAGTACAAACAGCTCCTCTGAGTGCAACCTCTGGGAGTCTAGGATTCAAAAAACTACATTGGATTCCATATATAGCCTAAAAGTGTTTTAAAAATGTTGTATAAATAATGAAAACAAAATACATGAGACAAAATCTGCCCAACCATGAAGGAATTCCTCATTGTACATGCATTCTCAAACAGGACATGTGCTCCAGCGATGCTGAGCTCCATATGAGGTTGGATGCACATTCTTTTGCATTTAAATGGACAGGTTGTCTAGTATTTCTTATTTTCATTGTTAACTTATCAACTGGCTTTTCTGAAATTTAGCTTGCACGACTATACAAAAGTTTGGGGTTGGTAAAAAAAATGTTTAGTGTTTGAAAAAATAATGCTCACCAAAGATGCATTTATTTGATCATAAATACAGTAATATTGTGAAATATTAGTACCATTTAAAATAACTGTTTTCCATTTTAATACGTTTGAAAATGTAATTTATTCCTGCGATGCAAAGCTGAATTTTCAGCAGTCATTACTCCAGTCTTTAGTGTGTCATGATCCTTCAAAAATCAATCTAATACATTGATTTGCTGCTCGGGAAACATTGCTTATTATTATCAGTATTCGTCAAAGAATCCTGAAAAAATTTATACATTTATACATAAAATATTTGATTTTTTCCCCCCTAATATTCTAAATGTATTTACTTGTGATCAATTTAATGCATCCTTGCTAAATATTCAAGTAAGTATTAATTTCTTTTTAAAAAATCCTACCTGATCTGATCCTATCTTAACAAATAGGTCTAACTTATTTCTAACATTAGCCTCTCAGATAAATTCCATTTAATCAAATACAAAATGTGTATGTGTAACGTGTGGTCAGACTCAAGACACAGACAGGTTAGAATCAAACAGACGGGCTTTTTGCACAGATGTAGATAAATAGCAGAAGTAGGTAGGATATGGCAGATAAGGAGTCTTTACTGAGTTGAGCAAGGATACTGATGACGGTATAATCGGTTACCAGGTTTTGGAGAGAGTGAGAAGACGAAGGAGATCGGGAGACTTGGAACAAGAGTTCAGGTAAGTAGCTTGGCATGAGCGATGAGTCCTTTTCCACAATGGAGACCAGACAATGTGTTTGTGTGAACTGTGTGCTCTTATACGGTGCTGGTGATTAGTAAATGACGGTCAGGTGCGGGTGATCAGAACTCCGGTGATTGGGATCGCTGATGAGTGGAAGAGCCTGGTGTTTCCGTGAC